AAAGATAACAAACAACCCAATTCAAAAATTGGGAAAAGACTTCAGTAGACATTGCTCATTTCTCCAGAGAAGATATACAGATGGTCAACAAGCACATAAAGTGATGCGTATCATATAAATCAAAACCACAATGAGACACCATTTCATACCCATTAGGATGGCTGTAATCAAAACACAATAATAATAATACCAAATGTTGACAAGGATGTGGAGAATGGACCTCTCTTACATAGCTGGGAGGAATGGAAAATCGTTCAGCCACTCTAGAGAACAGTTTGGTGGCTCCTCAAGAGGTTAAACATAGAATTATCATATGACCCAGTAATTCTACTCCTAGGTATATACTCAAAAGAATCGAGAGCAGATGTTCAAACAAGTATAGGTACACACATGGTATAGTCTGAGGGTTTACATCCCCCCAAACCACATGTTGGAATCCTAATGTCTGATATGATGATGTCAGAAAGTGGGGCCTTTAGGAGGTGATTAGGTCATGAGGGTGAAGCTCTCATGAATGGGATCAGTATTTTTATAAGAGAGACCCCATAGAGCTTCCTAGCCCCTTCCACCATGTGAGAATACAACAAGTAGTCTGTGACCCAAAAAAAGGCCCTCACCCAACCATGCTGGCTCCATGGGCTTGGGCTTCCAGCCCCATAATGAAAGCAATAAACTTCTGTTGTTTACAAGCCACCCAGTCGATGGTATTTTGTTACAGCTGCTCAAATGGACTAAGACAATGCATGTTCATAGAAGCACTATTCCCAAGAGCTAAAAGGTAGAACAGCACAAACGTCTATTAATGGATGAATGATAAACAAAATGGGTATGTATGTTTAATGAAATATTATTCAACCCTAAAAAGAAATGAAGTACTGATAAGTGGTACAACATGGATGAATCCAAATCATTATGCTAAGTGAAAGGAGCTGAACACAAAAGATTATATGTTGTATGATTCCATTTATAACAAATAACCAGAATAGGTAAATCCAGACAGACAGAACAAGGGGTGGTAGTTACCATGGGCAGGAAGCAGGGAGAAGGAGGAACAATTACTTAATAGGTGTGGGGTTCCCTTTTGCAGTGATGAAGACATTATGGAACTAAATAGAAGTGATGGTGGCACAGCATTGTGAATGTACTAAATGTCACTGCAATGTTCATTTTAAAATGGTTAATTTTATGTTAATTTCACCTCTAATACATAAATAAACTATATATTTTTAATTGCTATAAAACCTCTTCACAGAAAGTGGATGTGATTAGCTGCTAGAGTTCACAGACACCTGCTTCAAGATACCATCGAATAAAAAGTAGTTTGCATCAAACCGCTATGGTACCCCACCAGTCAGAGCACTTACTATTGGTTAATAACACGAGTAGCGCCAGTTAGGGCAGCGCGATCTCCTACTGATGCCTTTAGCTTTAACTGGTTGAAAACTGCATCAGAGCCCTGATTTTTCTTCTCCAAGGTCTTGTCTTCCCACAGTCCCTGTGAACATTCTCAGCCTTGGGCTGGCTCCAGGGGCCTTTTGGAGGTAACTTCGCTCCCTCTGAGTTCTGAATTTTCTTTGATTGATATCTCTTTAAAAGTCCTCTTGTATTGTTACATGAAATTAATATGTCTTTTTATATCTGCCCATCAGCTCGGCGAGGGTAGGAGTCGCGCCGCTTCGGCTTGCCGCTCTACCCAGCACCCAGCGCGGCAGACTTGTAGGGGTTCGGATGCCCTACTCAGCGGACCCAGATTTCCTCGTCTGCTATTTTGCCTGCTTCTGAGTATAACAGCACTTGAACAAAAAAGTCAGATAGTTTTCTAGATTTGCCATTTTAACTAAATTATCCTGTGTGCGTAGGAAAGGAGATTGACTTGAAACTAGCCAAGGCCTCCCTCATAGTGCCTTCACCTCCCCTGCCAAAATACCACGTGGCCCCTCCCCCTAACTAATAAACCCACAGCCTTCTAAACTCTCCCACCAGCAGCTCCCCCGTCGTGCTCGTTCAGTGCTGCCCAAAGGTAAAAATTCTAAGATATTATTTAGCGTAGTTAGAAAAGCCAAATAACACTTTCATTTGTTTCTTTCTGTTCAAAATTCAAATTGCTTAATTCGTTGCATTAAAAAAAGACAGAGCATGCACAACCATCTCGCATCACTCTTTTTCTTTTATTCAAGGTGATTCACTTCTGTCCAGTTATTGACTGCCCGGGAAATGTTGCCAGCGCTGGAAGCTGAGATTGGACTGTTTTATTGTTCTACATAAACAAGCCTTAATCTGGCTTTAAGGCGCAAAGAAAGACTCTACAGGTAATAATTACAGACAAGTGGTGTTCCAAAAGAAAAAGAAGTTTTGACACTGTTAAAATCACCATGCGTGGGTGCCTCCTGTGTCAAGCACAGTACGTGGGAAGAATACCAATTTACTAGTCAGAGAGTTTGGGGTTTGAATCTCAGCCCTGCCACTTACTATGTGATCTGGAGCAAGTTATTGAACATCTCTGAACATCAGCTTATTAATCTTACAAAATGGAAATAGCAGTAACCTCATTGGGCTGTTGTTGATTTAAATGCGTTATTGTATTTGAAGACTGACACACATTAGGTTCTCCATTAATAGCATAATTCTAAGCAGGAATCATCGGGGTGAAATTTCATGTATCTCTTGTTTACACAAACACACATACACACAAACATACAAGCATCTCACCCGATTTTCAGGCTTTCTTAATAATAAAACTGTTGAAAGAGGAAAGTAAGACAAAACTGTATAATGTACTACAGCAATGAAAACATTCTTCATGCATATGAATTCTGTTAGGTCAGACAGGTCTGCATTGGTTTTACCCAGACTTACCAAATGTTACCCAATTTTTGCTGCTGCTTTCTTTGTCATGGTCTTTATTTCCACAAATACATCCATGTTTCCACAACATACATGGATCCCCATGGGAAACTAAACCTGATGTAATAAAAAATTGTGTCAAGGAATATAATTTTTAAGACACTGATTCTTGGGAGGTCCAGAAATGATTTTCATAGTAAAATGCATTTTAATTTAAAAACTATTTAGAGCCTGCCTACTACATTCAAGACACAGGAGAGATTCAGAGATAAATGCAATGCAGGCTATGCCTTTGAGCAGCTTATAGCCTGGTATCATCCTAATGTGGTCTGGTCAGTGGGTCTCACAGAAGTAGTTCAGACTGAATTAGTTGGAAACAATATAGGTAATTTTCTAGACTCTGGACAAATAGTCTTGCTCTAAAAAATAAAGCACAAAAAAAGGTTTTTTGAATTATCTCTTGTGGCTGACTCTGTTATTTGTATCCACCAGGTAATTATTCAAGTATCCTTTTCTATATAGATGGTACCATTATATATGAGACCATAGCAGAGAAGAGCTGGCAAGATTATCTGCACAATGAGGTGTTTCTTATTTTGTACCAAACACGATGACATTTAAGCAACTCAAGGGAAATAAATTTTTACAATGTGCTGGATACTCTGTGCTAAGAATTTTTATGTGGTGCATTAGGTAAATTCCACATAAAATAATTTCCCTAAGAAAAAAATGTTCACGAAGTTAACCTTGCTGATTTTTTTTTCATTGCAAAAGGTTAATCCATAATTTGACCTTATAAACAATTCCAGCACATAAGAAGCCAGATACTTGCAAGTCAGTGTTGTTCTCTGGTATGCAAACCCGTCAGGGGAGGAGAGCGAATGGTACATCATTTCCATTCCTCCACTAGGTAACTATTTATAGTCCAGCATCTAATGAAAACCCTAGAGACTTGGAAAAGTTAATGTGCCTTTTGGTGTCTTATTTATACCCAAGGAATAAGTCAGGATCAAATCCAAGGTATATACACATGCTTCACACACACACAAACACACACAGCTTACACACTTGTCCCATTCAATGTGAAAGCTGCAGGTATCGTCTATATTCTTTTGGCTCTCACATCACAAAGCTGAAGATTGAAGACATTGCAGAATATTGAAGTTCTACTAGAAATGCCTTTAGGAAAATGATGGACTCAATTTTAGAGATAATACCAGTCCACACACACCAAAAAAAATTGCAGCATTCCTTCCCTTAAAAATGTAATGAAATCCAAAGGTTAGGAAGTGAATCTGGTATAATGGGAAATAAGTCTGAAATAAGTTTAAATGTCAGTTATACAGAGGTTAGCTGACTTAATGATGGTTTTAGTTAATGATTTTTTTACTTTACAATGGTGCAAAAGCATTCTGCGTTCAATAGAAATCATAATTTGGATGTTTTCCTGGACTGGCAGGCTGTGCTATAGGATCCTCTTTCCTGGTGCTGGCCAGTGGCAGCGAGCTGCAGCTCCTGGTCAGCCCCGCAGCCACGAGGGTAAACAACCAAATCACTGACAACCGTCTGCACCCCTGCAGCTGTTCTATTTCTGCTTTCAGCCCAGTAGTCAATAAATTACATGCAATAGCCAACCCTTGATTATAAAATAGGCTTTGCGTAAGATGATTTTGCCCAACAGTAGCTAATGTAAGTGTTCTAAGCACTTTGAAGGTATAACTGGGTGAAGCTATTACATTCAGCCCACTAGGTGCATCAAATGCATTGTGCACTTTGGATGTTTTCAACTCACAATGAATGTTTCAGGACACAACCCCATCATAAGTCAAGAGAAATCTGTACATATTATGTTATTAAACTGATAAGGTAAGTATTATTGACACAACTGTGTATTCTAGTTTACAGGTCCTTTTTATTTTCTAGGTGTCCACTTGGACTTCACCTCCTTCAAGAGGACTCTCCTGACTTTTCTTAGACCAGGTGAGGTGCCTTTTCATGTGCTCTTTATCTTAACCCTAGTCAAGTAAGCCTGGAAAGAATTCTGTGAGATGGGTGTGGCTCTGATCACCATTTTATGGTAAGAAAAGTGAGTCTGGAGAAATTGAGTAATGTGCGTCACCAAGATCACAAAGCTGAACCAGGAACCAAATTCTTACCGAATGATTCCCAACTCCATGCTCAGGCTGCAGGTCATGGAGAAAATGTTCAGCAGGCTTTTCTTCCACTTACTCTGAGATTGCATCTACCAAATAAACATCAGGAAAGCAGCAAGATGAGAAATTATCTGCTGACTTTGGGCAATAAACATAGAGCATCGGGATAATTATGAGAAGAATGTAGTGAGCATTAGTGTGTGCCAAGCACCCAGCTACGTGCTTACTGCATTCCCTCATTTCTTTCTCACGACATCTTCTAAAATACAAATGATGATTATTCCCCTCCATCTATTTTCACATTTTACAGTTAAAGTAACTGAGGCTTAAAGCAGTTAATAATTGACCCGGGGTCACACCACCAGAACGTGGCGGACTCTTTACCCAGGCTTCCGACTCTGAGTCCACTTGCTTAACTGCCACTTCAAGTGTCTCCCCACCAGACCCTTTTCCTTAGATATTTACTTAAGGGTAGGAAGTGTAGGCTACTCCCAGGTGAGGGTTGCACTGAATCATCTTAATAACTGTTGAATTCTGCCTTTTTTCTTAACACATATAGACATATACTAAGAATTTTTTTCAGCCCTGGGTTGAAATTCTGGTCAGCCACTTACAAGATGGAATGGCTGTGTTCACATAAAGGAACCTCCAAAACTCAGTTTCCCCATTTGATAAAAAGATCTGATAGGATCCATCCAGCAGGGTGGTTACACCTAAAGTGAAATCATGTAATAGAAACCTCCTACTACTAGAACCTAGTAGACAGAAGTCACTCAGTAAGTATCAGATCATCTCCTTCCCCTGATTTCTAGCTTTGAAATGAAACACACCTTAGGTAACAGAAAACCCTTCATTCATTCACCCTGAAAGTTCATTGATCTTTCTTGAATCTCTCCAGTTAAGGAGAATTTAAGATGACAGCTTCCTAAAATTCTTCTTTTTTTAAAATTCTGTATCTGGATGGCAACAGCCCCTTGAACATTTTTTTTCTGCATTTCTTTGTAAAAGTGCACGAATTTATCTATACTTTAAACATAGTAACTCTGATGATAAATATACTGTTTAATTCTGCAATCATCTATTAAGTGCCTCCCATGCTAAGAACCATTCCTACCCACAAAAAGCTCATAGATTGTAAACAAACACAAGAGGAGTCAAGATACCATCTGATAGTAGCACCATAACAGAGGTGTGTATCAAGTTCCATGGGAGCAATTAATCCCGCTGGAGGTGTTGGGGACTAGTTCACAGCAGAGGTGACATTTGAGTTCAGACACAAAGAATGAGTCAGCTTCTCAAGATTGAGCAACATCAGAGACAAATTTCAAGGAATAGTTGTTCAAACTATGACCACAAGAACATCACAACAGAGAAAATTCTCCCCATTTGCTTGGTCCAGATTATCAAAGACAAAACCGTCATGATGACTTTCAGAGTTAATCTGCTAAAGCCATTTGATGATGATTTTTCAAAGCAAATGTGTGATATTTATCCCAAAGCCATCATTGTGTAGCACTTAGGATTCTGAACAACTCGAGTTTCCCCTTTGAGGGCTCATACATAATGAATGTGTGTTACATTAAAGATTATTGAAGATCGTGAGCCTTCTTTTATTCCATGTTTAAGATTGGGAAATTTTAAAATATTGATGCATTTGTACAAGTTACTTGACTTGAATTTTACAGTAAACAGTAGGAAAGAAAATGTCAACACTGGACAAATTGTACATGAGCTCTCTTTTCTTAAAAAAAGAAAAACTTTCTTAAAATGGGCAATATTTTGAGATGAATTAGTCTACAGAACTCATCCTGGATCTCAAAGTATAAGCATCTCATGAGTGCAGAAACTAAACAGAAACAGAGACTTGAGGAAATGTTCCAAGAATTAACTATTTTTGCTTTATTCTATGTGTAACCTATGTTTCCCTACTTTTTGTCTCTAATCATCCTTCCTATGAGCATATCTCACATGCTGACAAAATGAACCTACTCACCATTCACACAGCACCTGCTGCTCTCTTTTTCCATTGTCTCTGTCTTTTCATTGTCGTCAGGTCCAATGGCACTGTCATCTCCTGCCACAGCTGATGCCATAGAGCCAATGTCAAGATGACAGGGCTATTTGAGGTTGCATTGCACAATTGGGAAGAAAGTCTCTTTTCCTTCCTTGACTTAGTCTCTTTCAGAGATACAGAACCAAGGTAAATCCTTGGGCCACACAGATGGAGAATATTGTCAGTAGAGCCTCATAATAAAACCTGAAGGAAGCTAATGTCAATTTTTATTTGGTTACAGATGAAGAAAGGAAGGAAGGAATGAAAGCAGGGAGGTTGGTCCTATTAAAGCTGTAACATTCCCCAAGTGAAAGTTTGTTTAAAAATATTCCATCTCTGTAATTACTATGCCTAGATCACTCACGATTTCAAATATTTTGTTCAATTCCCTTAGAACTGGTAACAGCTAAAACTGATATCACATTTTACAAAGCCTTTTCCAGATACATTCCTTCATTCCGTTATTGTGATCTCCATTTTTTCAGAAGAGAAAATCAAGCAGTCCCTATCACCCATTCCCACCACCCACTTCCACTGCTCAACTTTCCTAACCCTTCAAGCTACACTTAAGACATCATTTTCCTCAGGAAGACTTCCCTGGCATCCTTGGCCCAGATGGGCAGCAGCTAGTCTCTGTTCTGGTACAGCAGAGCACCAGTGGACCAGAAGAAGCTCAGGGTGGCCTGAGGCCCCCCGACCAATCATTTCAAGCTTTAAGCTGTTATATTCATTCTCCCCAGTGTGTTATAAGTAATACCGTTTTCCATGTGTGCCTGGATGTGAAAAATACTAAGAAGCACTGTCATGAGGTCTGACTAGGAGCATAGGTTTGGGAAGCACTTAGTAGCTATGTGAGCTCGGGCAGTGAGTTGACCCACACAGGTATTAGTTTCTGCATTTGGAAGCTGGAGGTAACAATAGTGAGTGCTTGTAGAGCACCTACTACCATATAGGTTACCTGTTTGCTTTTCACAGCAGGATAAGTAGGTACTATTGTTCTTCTGATCATACAGAGAGGAAACAGAGGCACAGAAACATAAAGGTCCCATGGATAACAAGTTATTTGAACTTCACATCAACAGCGTAAGTGTCATGATTCAAACCCAAGCCCATGTCCATTTGCAACACCTCACCACACTGGGGTTGCACCTGAACCCACCTCACAGAGTTGCTAGAGGATTAAATCTGATAAATTTATATGTAAATGGTGCACTTGCTGTCTCAGAATTATACCTGAACACCGAAACCCCCAAGTAGTGCTGCCCTGCTGGGTTTACTGGGGTCTGCCTGAGAGGTACCAGTTTCAAGAACTGGGCTTGCCACCCACTATTCTGCCCACCCCCACACTAGCTCCACCATCCCTACCACCAGAAAGGGCCTTGCAGAACTGCCTCTGTGTAATCAGAGCAGATGAATGCTGTGGGGGGACAGATGTTGTGGTTGTACCACCGGGGGAGGGGATATTGCTTTGGTAGCCCCTTTCTTAGAAAGATGGATTCTGCACTTGACAATCCCAAGAACTGCCTGGCCAGAGAGGACGGCTGGGATTGGGAGCTACATCTTGCCGCAACTAGCACTGCGTGCTGGGCGAAGAGACACTTGTATCACAGTACTGCGACTTGATGCCACCCCGGGAGTAACGGAGTCACCTGGAGAAGATGGCTAAATCTTGCAAGAGGTCACCAGTGCTGAGACAAACTGCACTGGACTCAGTCCCCCATGGATGAGGCATGTCGAAGCCCACTCATGGCCTCACCTATGTAATATGGGAGCTATAATGCCTCCGCCATGGAAGTGTCATGAAAACTGAATGAGATAATGTGAGATTCCCTCTGCAGTGTGGGCCCAAGGTCAGTGTTAGCTCCCCTGCCACACTGCTGCTACTCAGTGTTTAAAGCCTAGATAAATACCTCAAGGGTGGGAAGAGAGGGGTAGCTTTTCATAATGTCAGATTCAACCTAAAAAGAAAAGTCTATGTTTGCAGAGTTCTATCTCCCTGGATTACCGGGCAGATTCTGAAATTTATTAACCTTTTTAGTCATTTGTGAGCAACAGCGTGAGTACTTTTTTGAATAATCAGAAAACCTTCTCATTCTGGCAGACAAATAAAAAGAGGACAGGTGTTCAGGATTAAAAATGCATTAACCCTGCCACTGACTTTCTGGGGAGGATGTTAAGTATTTTCTCTTTCATAATATGTACCATTTCTAAAGTCGAGAAACAGGAAGAGAAATGAACAGAGATGATAAGAGGACATCAGGAAAAATGGAGAGATGGGTGGAAACATGGGAAGTGAAATAGCAGCGAGAAGATAGAGGAGAATCCTATTTTTAACCAGTTATGGTCTTCTTTCCTCCCCTTAAAAATAAATCTTCTTCCTGCCCACAGTGAACTGAGCAAATAATATCTGTGGTTCCATAACACCATTTGCGTACTATTTGGAGGCACTGATATTGTGTATCTTTTGGGCAAGGCTGGGCAGGCCTTTTAACTCTAGATAGGCAACCACCAAATTTTCCCTAAAAGTGTTTCTAAGAAAAATGTCCACATCCACATTATCATTTTTCAAATTATTCTTAGCTTGGGGTTGACTATTTCCCTGAAGTAAAGCTGAGATCATTTCTAGTTGCTAATAATATAAAGAGTGTGCGTGTTGAGTGTGTGCTCCGTGCTAAGCTCTTGACATTCATGGTACCCTTTAGAGGTTTAGGAAATTGAGCCTCGGGAAGCTAGATAACTGGATCAGGCTACAGAGTTCATATGTGGAATTAGTATTCAGACCCAAGTCTGCTCCCAAACCCTGTCCTATTATTCCCTTTAGAAACCTTCAGCCGCTGCCACTCTGCCGTCCAGGCTGAGCTCCGACACTGAGGAACAAAGCCAGCCCGTGGGAAAGGCAAGAAGGAAGATACAGTGCCAGTAACAGAGTGGAGAGCTGTACTGCAGACAAGCCCTTCAAACCTCATACACAAGCCCATGGTGCACCAGTGGCCATTCTGAGACTCAAGGACTACTCTGGGAAGGCTTCTGTAATTT